CCATTTATTTGTCCAACTCACTAATGATCTAAATCCTTTTGTAAATCAGCAGCATCCTCTTTACAGCTAGCAATACCTAAGGCCTTAATATCATCTGGAAATTTAAGTAGTTTATTGACTATTCCTTCATCTGTATCATTGATGTAAATCAAAAAGAGCAAAGGCCCTAAGACTGAGTCCTGAGGTACCCCACTTGTGACATTAATCCAGTTTGACTGAACTCCATTTGTAACAACCCTCTGGTTTCTTCTGTCCAGCCACTCTTCTATCCAATTTGCTAACTTATCCCCCAACCTATAGAGATAAATTGTTTTTACAAGCCTTTTATGTGGCACCTTGTCAAATGCTTTCTGAAAATCCAGATATACCAAATCTACACTTAAAGAATGTTAAAAAATAGTGTCCAAAATATTTAAAGCAAGATTTTCCCTTAGTGAAACCATATTGACTATCCAATAAAATTCTAAACTTTGTTAACTGACTGCAAAACATCTTTTAACAGATTTTCCAAAACTTTTCTCACAACTGATGTAAGACTAATGGGTCTATAATTACTGGGACAATTTTTATCACCTCCCTTGAAAAGAGAAGTTGCATTAGCTAACTTCCAATCCTCTGGTACCTGCCCATTATTCAAGGACTGACAAAAAATAGTAGTAAGTGGCTCACATATCCAATTTAACCTCCTTCAAAGCCCTTGGGGAAATATTATCTGACCTAGGAACCTTATTTTTTAAACTTCACAATTTTTTCTTAACCAGCTCAGAATTAATACAGTCATTCAAATTTGATGACAAGTAACCCACTTTGAGACTAACAGTGCTTGGAGATGGTTTGAATGGGTAATGAAGAAAAACTTTAATATAAGTTTAACATAATAGCAAATATACAACATCATTAAAACCATGTCGAAACATTGTACATCTGCCGTTATGTTAAACTTATATTAAAGTTTTTTTCATTACCCATTCAAGCCGTCTCCAAGCATTATTAATGAAGTCATCTTTTTTTATCTCATTTCCATCTATCACCTGTTCAAGATGTGGAATACTGCTTAAATTTTCATTAGTAAAAACCAAAGAAAAAGTCAATAACCCAGCCATTTCATAATCATTAGATACAAGCCTTCCTTTATCATCCCTCAAGGGTCTTGCCCCCATCCTAACATTTTGTTTACCCTTAATGTATTTAAAGAAACCAGCCAACCTTTTCTCATACATCCTTATTGATGTCCTAATTTTCTGTTTGATCAACTGTCTTGATCTTCTATAATCTTCTAACTCTCCTGTATACCAGTTAATTTAAATTTCTTAAATTTATGATGCTTTTCTTTAATTTTATCTCATAAACTCTTTGTGAGTCAACCTGGTTTTATATTTGCAGCTACCTTTTTCTTTCTGCATGTTTTTGCTCCAATTCTCCCCAACACATCTTTTGACCAATGAAAATTTGTTAAACCAGTCCTACTGTCTAATATTAGAGGAGAGACATCTGTGATACTTTCTGTGTACCTTACACTAATAAAAATATCATTATTATAGTTTGACCAAAACCTTTTTAGACTTTAGTTAATTTGTTTATAATTAACATTATATCCAAAACGTTGTTTTGTGTAGTTCAGTAACTGTGCATGAGCAGCTTTCTAGTACAATTTTTAGATTTTCCGCATTGTGTTTAAGTGAAGTGATTTGAGGCATAATTCATGATGAAGAAAAAAAGCATATTTTGTGTTTAAATTGATTTCTTGAACCTACATGTTTTCCTAACATCATGATGTTAATGGTGATTAGAACTTTGCCATCTTAACTAATTTCTAGAAATTACATTCATTTACCTCATATTGCTTTTACTTATTTGGAAATGAAATTCTTGAATTATTTATGTTATGAAAACTAGGAGAAAAAGCTTGTATAAAGTGAAATACTCATCTCTGCTGTTCACTGCTCATACTGTTTAAATTTTGTAGATGTTGCTTTAGTCATGTGTGTTTTTAGTCTTCATCTTTTATTAGGGGTGTATTGGTATGCTCAGTATCTTCATCTTAGATTAGACAAATGTTTTGGTACATTCAATCTTCACTTTAAATTTGGCATATATTTTGTTATAGTCAGTCATCATTTAAGATAGATTTGATTTATTCATTCCTTATCTTAGATCTGAAAAACTTTCTTTATTTTGGATGTTTTCTCAAAGTAATTTGGTAAAGGAAAATTGGTATACATGATTCATGTCAGTCATTAATTAGCTGTAAAACTGTTAAACCTTTCTATTTCACTTCATTAATTTTAAATTAATTAGTTCAAAAACCAAGCTTATTTTAAAGTTATCTTAACATTAGGGTAGCCATAACTAGATTTCTTCTGTAAAGAATAATTATTTAAATTAATTTTTTTAAATTCACCAGTCTTGCAATAAACAAAATTACAACTGATGTATTAATTGTAAGAGAAAGTTTTTTAAAAAGTAGTTTATATTACTTTACTATTTCTCATTTCTTGATTCTCTGTTTTTCAGCAAAATCCAGTAATTCAGTCAAAGTTCCAGTCTCTTGAAGAAAAAGTTTTGATTCATCAACCTTCATCTTCTCAAAATCAAGATACCATAGATTCCCCATTACTAAATGTACCAACTCCAGCTAATGCATAATAGAAATTTTTATTTGCCATTCATCCACTTTGCTACAATCTTTAGAAAATTTGTTGTTGTGTATCCACTGCTACTGCAAATGTTAGAAAGTTTTATGTTGTTGTGTACTCACTTCTGCTACAATCTGTAGAAAGTCTTATGTTGTTGTGTGTTTACTTCTGCTACAATCCGTAGAAAGTTTTGTGTTTGTGTGTGTATCCTCTTCTGCTGCAATCTGTAGAAAGTTTTATATTGGTGTGTATCCTCTTCTGCTGCAATCTGTAAAAAGTTTTATATTGGTGTGTATCCTCTTCTGCTGCAATCTGTAGAAAGTTTTATATTGGTGTGTATCCTCTTCTGCTGCAATCTGTAGAAAGTTTTATATTGGTGTGTATCTAACTCTACCAACATTTCTTAAAAAGTTGTGTTACACTGCTGTCTAAAGTTGTTATATATATACATATCCAGTTACACACTGCTGCTATGTTCACATTAATTTTCATGAAGTACAAATGTGTTATTGTGTTTTGTAAGCTTTATTCTATATCAAGGTATTGTATCTGCTATACTATTGCATATATGTTACTTTTGTATATAAATGTTCATTTCCTGACTTGATGGTACAGTAAGCAAGGCTGAAATAGTCATGTACTGCTCAGTGTTAAGAATATCAGAAAGTTTAATAAAATATTAGATATGGTTACTGTGGCTTTTACTGAATGTTAACGTGTTTTGAAAAAACCAACCAAGAATTCAGAAAACACAATGCTAAGTTGAATACATTATATTACATATACAAATCAACAACTACAGCCAATGTAAAGTTATGGTGGAATAGACTATGATTATGACATTCATAGGTAAAGTTATGCCATTGAAGATTAATCACTTTTGGGTAGGGTATGTAACAGCCCTTTCTCGTGGAAAATATACACTCCAATCATAAAGATGTGTTCAAAATTGGGATATCCTTTGTACTTAATAGCATTAGAACTCAAAAGAATATTGATCAACTTGGGGCACCAGCTATGGTGAGGAAATTGTGGCATTTTGTAACAAGGGTCAGTATTAAAAAACATCCACATGTTCCAGACAATGGTATTTAACATAATCAAGAAATATAACCAGCAGCATTAGGATTCACCAAGATAAAGCTTTTGATCGTATCTCCCATTCAATGATCGCATATCCCTAAGCAGCTGATGACTGAAACAGGTATTTATGTTATTCCATACAAAAACATGCTGTTTAAGTTGCAGGACACAACTATGTATTTCTGTGTGATTGTATTGTTGAAATGACCACTGGGAGACTGTGCCTCATACAGTAGATGAATTATGGAAAGCTAGCAGTGAGTATTTGTGTGCTATGTATATGACAACCTTTCTAATGGAAACTTTGCTATTGTCATGATGCATAGTCATCAGATAGAGCATGAGCGGACTTAACAACATAGACTTTAACAGTACAATGAGGCTTCAAAATTGTTTTAATATAATGTAATGAATCCTCTCTATAGTTAGAGAAGTGTCTAAAGATGTATAATGGTGGAAAAAAAGTCTTTTACTAGCATATCAGATAAAGTTAAAAGTAAATATATTTTTATTTTTGATGACGAGGAACCCACTTTGAGACTAATAATGGCTGGAGATGGCTTTAATGGGTAATGAAGAAAAACTTTAATATAAGTTTAACATAACAGTAAATGTCATCATCAGGTATATTTTTAGTAAAATATTCAGTTGTCAAATATTGGAAATTCCAGCAGTGTTAAATTACAGTATTCTTTTATTGATTTGTTTCAATGTTTTCTAACAGCTTTCTCAAAATGCCAGAAACATAATTAAAATGAATTGTACAGTTACACACATTAATTGTAAGTAATGTTTGAAAAGTTCCAGTTCATGTCAGTCTTGTATGCTCTGTTTTTACTTTTATTTCTTTCATATTTCAGAATATAAACTTTAGACTAGTGAGTTTCCAACCTCATTTTAGTAGGGTATTTTGTTTTCCCAAAGTGCATATTCTCACTTTGAGTAGTTTTTGGCCTTTCCTCATTAGGTCTTCTTCTTCTTAGTCGGTTAACTCCAATTTAGTTAGGTCAGATGTTTATGTGACAGTTGTGGTTCCTATTGATATGTTCTGCTCTACACTTCCATCTTAAGTCTGTCTCTAACTCTCAGACAGTGTGTGATAATAGTGAGTATTCATTCTCCTTGTGGACTATTCCTTGTTCTTTTGTCCTCATTTTTTGTATCTGATATTGTTATACCATTGAGGGATTTTTTTTTAGGATTCCATGTTTTATGTAAACTTTTCCCTCTTTACAGGCAATGGGCATTAATTTGTCTGTTTTCTGTTCTTTGGTTATAGATGCCTTACTGGCTGCTATGAATAATAAATTTTTGACTACCTTCTCTCTGCTTTTCAGTTTTGTGTGTTCTGTAGCTACTGTGGGTGTCTCTCACCTTCTGTTATATATTCTCTGTGGCCATTCAAGTCTTTTGTTTATTTTATTTCAAAGAAGGTCTGCTGTGGTTTACTTGTCAGTATTTGTTCAAGTTAGAGAGTTAGTTATAGCCCACTTCTAGTAACTTTGGTAATGTCACTCGCTTCCACTTTTTTTTTCTTGTCATTAATATTTTTTATCAGATATTTTTGACAACACAATTATATAAATGAGGTGAAAACTCTGATGAGGCCTATATATTTTCTACATAAACCCCAAACTTTTATATTTTTCACTGTAAACACTGAATCATCACTACTAGAGACACCTGGGTACCTAATTGAGCCAATAAAAGATATACAAAAGTACTTATCTCACTCAAATATGCTCCAAATGTTTGCTTTTCTTATCCAGAAATTGTTGGTGTTAAATTATAGTCTTAAGACTAGTTTTCACATCATTCTTTGTATATATTATTCAAGCATCAAATGTGTTTTTGGTTTGGTTGGAAGTTTGCAAAAAACAACATGAGGGCTATCTGTGCTAGCCATCGCTAATTTAGCAGTGAAAGACTAGAGGGAAAGCAGCTAGTCATCACCACTACCAATTCTTGGGCATTTCTTTTACCAACGAACAGTGGGATTGACTGTCACACCATTCTTTTCAGTGCTATATGCATCATTTATATCATTTGGATATTTTACAATATAAATCACTTGTTATATACTAGAAGATATAGGTACCATCGTGTACACCACTAGATGATAAAACCAGGTATATGCGACTTATTTTGTCTCTGTGGAGGTGATCTTACATCAACCATTCAGCATAATGATTTATTTCATTTCCACAAACATATAAGTAGAATGCACAACAGTCACATCTCAGATTCCCTTTACAGCTATAGGCTACTTTTATAAATGTATGTTTTAAAGCTTAGCCAGATCATATACATGTGAAATCCAATCCAATGGATTTGATCTATAGCAGTCATAAACAATCTAGTTTTGCCTATTTTTGGTTGCCATGTGTCAGTTGAACCCTCTTTATCACTGGAATAATTTACATGGTTGTATGTCTGAATGTTGAGACAACCAGAAACATCCCATTCTTCTAACTGTATTATCTTCTTTGGCACAATAATCCTTTTGGCAATGGCATAAGGAGCCAGCTTATCCTTTAAGATAGTTAGATGGCCATCATTCGCTTGTTATCTACAGTCTTTACAACTTAATATGGCAAGACGCCTGTTCTAGATATTCACTTGGTAGGTGGTCAACAACCACTTCTCATCTACAGTCATTAGAACTTGATCTTGTGACAAGACGCCTGTTCTAGATATCCATATACTAGTTGCTCATCATTCGCTTCCCATCTACAGTCTTTAGAACTTGATATGGTAAAACACCTGTTTTAAATATCCACTTAATATGTGGCCAACAACCACTTCTCATCTACAGTCATTAGAACTTGATCTTGTAACAAGATAGCTGTTCTAGATATCCATATAATAGGTGGTCATCAACTGCTCCCCATCTACAGTCATCAGAACTTGAAATTTTTATAGGATGCCTGTCCTAGATATCAGCATAATAGGTTGTTTGAGCATTATGATAAAGAAGCAATATTATATACTGCTTTGAATGATAATCATCTTGAATATTTAATAGCATGTACTCTGCCCCACTTTCTGGAAGCTGGCTGTTTGGCAGCACGTGGTGTTTTGTGTGAAGACAAAAGTTTACGTGTTAATTCTCTTATAGGAATAACTGCAAATAATTAGCAGCTGGGCTATTCTTGTCAGCGAATCAGATAATAACTGCGAGCGGTCACGTTCTTAGTTTTCACACATCCTGCTAATAAAATGAGGAAGGTAGTGTACAATATGAGTTTGGGTATTTAAACTCAGATTTGTGTGTATCTTCAACTTCTCACTCTTGGAGAATATACTGAGCGGCAAGCGATCTTTGTACAAAGACCCGCGCTTCGATGTACATGAACTGCTTCTTTGATCTCTGTTATTTTCGTAAAAGCAAAACCCCGGATCGTTGTATTCACGCTCGCATAAAACTATTTAGTTATTCTCAATGAAAGACAATAGAAAGAAGCGCCCTCAAAAACGATTAAAAACAATCACTTAAGGTTTCATTGTACAAATACTTGCCTTGATAATTTAATTTAAATATATTATTTTACTGTAGCTTTAGTCAATAGTTAGTTTAATGATAAACATATAATTTATAACAGAGATTCGATGTATATTTTCAATAAATAAATGTTTTAACGTTGTTCGATCACCTGTAGGCCTGACATGTATACCTTTATTTTTTTCTTTTTGAGAGTGGTATATAGTATGAGTTTGAAGCCTAGTGATTCTCAAGGTATAATTTGGTATGTTTTCGTTTTTTTATAGATACACATATATATGTGTGTGTGTTCAAGTAGTGCTATTTGCAGTAATTGTGTGTCTTTAAAACCAAGTTAATAATTATTGATAACCATTACAATGTTTACAAAATAATTGGATCAACGAACCTTTTTAACTAAAAGTAGCTGACCACAACCAAATATTATAAGTAAACTAGTTTTCGATTTTCTACATTTTATTAGGACTGTCTGAAACATTATGAAACTCCTATGAACTAATGTATTGTTGCGTCATCGAGGTCACGTGACTGGTGTGGCGCCCTCTAGTTTCTAGAACTATCCTGTACTTTGGCGAATGTTCTAGTTCTTACTAGATATAGGGTAGGCTGGTGTATAAAAGAGGGGAATGTAATGTGTGCGTAGACAGTGAGTAACTGAACTGCAGTCGGAAGTATTGTTGACGTTCGTTGATTAGCGTTTGTTTTAACGCGATTGTTGAAGTTGAGTGTATCGGTAAAGTTATATTAGGAAAGAATAAATCAGTTTTATTAAGAAAGGACTTGTGTCGCTTAAGTTTCGTCGGAACGAAGTTACGGAAAATTAATTAACAAACGGAGACGTAACAGTATGATTTAGTCCCCCCCTCCCCATTTTCATACCTTCTGATGGCAGTAGGTTGATGAGCCTTTGATTACTAATATTAAACATTAACAGCCTAGGACAACCTATATCTCATTGAGTACATTCAATAAGCTAATTGCATAGATAATATAGGTGAATTCTCCCAATTTTATAGTAACCTTTAAAAAACAAAAAACTTTACAATTCAGGTTTTAATTTTGTTGAATTATTATTTGTTAGTTCTCCAAGGTATACTTCACTGAT